GGTCTCTTATTAACACTCGCGAATTAAAACATTTCTCTAACACGTGATAACAAAAAAAAAGAAAAAAAAGGATAAAAATCTATATATATATAATAATAATTATATTATAATTTTCTTCTCACGAAATTATCGAATATTTTTTTTTCCATTTGATTAAATTTGTTTTAAAAAAAAAAAAAACAAAAAAATTCATCAACTTTATCTCCAGTATTTGTACGTTTCCTCGTTAGGAGAAAAAGAAAAGAAAAGGAAAAAAAAAAAATGTAATTCCAATGGAAAATTCATGGAGTAAATTACGATGAGAGAGAAATTCGGTGTTGTTCCATTAAAGGCGGCAAACCTTTCGAAATCCACGTAGTTCTTCGGCATGCTTTCCATTTCTAACGATCACCCGATGAGACCGGAGACCAATCGTTACGACGTTCCTTGAACCACGAAATGCGATTTCTATTTTTCCATCGACTTCTACCTAACCGCCCCCTCGCAACCCCACCCCACCCCGCATTAACTGCTTGGTCGCGGTATCGATCGTGTGTTTCTTTTTTTTTTCCTTTTTTTTTTTCTCTATTGAATCACGATTTCTCGGATTATTGCGCGAACTATCGAGATTTACACGTATTTTTTCTATTCAAGAAATTGTTTATTTGTCCGATCTAGAATTTTATTCTCTCCAATTTGTATATTTTTATTTATTTCATTTTACAATATTAATATTAATAATAATCATCATTTTACTTTATAATAATAGAATGAACCGAAAGTTCGTGCGTTTATTGTGTTATAAATTGCATAATAGATTGGTTTTGTAAAATTTACTTTGGAAATATTAATTTTAAAACACACGAACTTTTGATTCACCCTAATAAAAACAAAACAAATATATATATACAATAATATTTATCAAATAAAAATCTATATGACAATTGTTCTTTCTGCTAAAAAAAAACAATGTTACATACAACACACGTAACATATCTTCTATAAATAAAATAATTAAAATACACCTGTCAACTGAGGAGGGGGCGGAAGGGAGGTATTGATCAAATACATAAATAACTTTTACAATTATAAATATATATACTTAACTCTATAAATAATATTTTTAATAATAATATAATATAACAGAGTATTTAAAAATTCTCCATCAACACCACAACCACCACCACCACCATCATCAACCACCCACCATTACCAGTTTTGAATAGAATAATCTACCGAGATGGGATTTACCGATTGTAAGATTTATCGTAGGTGTAGATCAAGAATTTCAAGCACGACGAACGTAATAAAACCGCAAGTTAAATCGAACGTTAAAAAGCCAACAAAAAACTTGTTTCTCCGTTCCGATCGCGCGTGATTTACGTGCGCGAATGAAGTCACCTGTCGGCACCAGGCACACTCGACGAGTCTCCCAGGTATTATGGTGAACAGGTTTCTGTGTTAGAGGCGCCATGAAGAAGCAGGTTCCTTTCGGTTAAACATACACACACACACACATACACACACATCATCGTCATCATCATACACGCGCGCCACATACGTATCACGCACGCATATAAATATGTATACGTTTATATCAATTACAATAGTATAATAAAAAGTCACGAGTAACACGATATTCAAGAGCAAATGATAATAATTAATATCGTATTGATCATTTTCAAATTAAAATTGGAGTAGGGGCGTAAAGGGGTAAGGGTGTCATGACGATGGAGGAGAAGGGGGAGGAATAAACGATTCATCATCGGTTCTCATTATTCCCTCCCCCCCTTTTTTTTTCTTTCTTTCCTTCTTGTTTTTTAACACGTGCCCCAATCTCGACTTTGAAATCATTCTCTCTCTCTCTCTCTCTCTCTCTCTCTCATCTTTGTCATGTGTCAATTACAAACAAAAAAGAATGTTCATTTATTATTATTATTATTATTCAATTAATTATTTCTCTCGTCCAAAAATAAAATAATTAATAAACTAAAACTGTTTTTAATGTTCAATTTCGCTACGATACATATTTATTAATTATTATTATTATTATAATAATAATAATACAGGTATATGAGATACACATATACTCTAGCAGCTTCCTCTTCACGTGATGATGCGTTATCGCATGATTGCTTTCGCCAAAAAATCGACGCGTGGATTTATCTTTCGACTTTATCTTTTAACGTATATTACGAATATCCATTTAACTTGACACACTTACCGTTTACCACCACCTCCTCCTCCTCCTCGGTTATAATAATGCGCGATAAAAAATATTTTCGATCGAATTTTGTCTTTCCCTCCTTTCTTTTTCTTTTTTTTTTTGTTTTTTGTTTTTTTTGTTCTCTTTTTTTATTGCGCACTTTTCTTTTTTCTCTCTTTTAGTCCCCCGTATCGTAATAAATTCAAATCGTTGATATTATTTTTTTTTTCTCGTCGTCGTAATCACCACCACCCCTTCCCCTCGTCCTTTGTTTAATTTACTCTTGAATTTCGAAAATTAAAAAATACGCGATCGTATTGTGTTCACGAGTTTATATTATATGTGGAAATTTGTTAAGATATTAATTTGAAATTATGGATCATTTTCTTAATTATATTTTAACCAATAATTTTGTGTCAACTCATTAAACATTTTTTCTACTCTATTGTAAAATATATAAAATCTAATAATTATTTTATTTTTTTTTTTTTTGGCAAACGACACTTCGTTTTTCATTTTTCTTGACGCAAATAACAAATGTATCGTCACGATTTAAAAAAACAAAAACATTGTAAATCTATTGAATATCGTATTATCTCAAACGGGGAATTTTTGTTGTTGTTTTTGAGAGGGATTATTCTTTCTTTTTCTTCGTAATTAGATAGTTAGTTATCTGTATTTTATCCCAAATGAAAATAATGACTTTATCGAATCAACAAAATTGATCTTTTTTTTTTCTTCTTCTTCTATTCCGAATAATCCGAAGACTAGATTTTACAATAATAACAATAAATATATATATATAACCCAGAAAGAAAATTCCGATAAGATATTTTTGATAGATAATAGGACATTTCGAGATCGTTAAAGATAGAAGAATAAGAATAAAAATAAAAATAAGAAGAAGAAAAAAAAATGTACAAAAAAAACCACGAACTCTTCCGGTAGCAAGCAAAATAACTTTGTACGTCGTTCGAGAAACTTTGATAAAAGTTTCGATCTCACTTTTTGCTCCAGCTGCGGTTCGGTTTCCTATACATATACATATAATACACACACAAATATATATCTATATATATATATACAGCTTCCGGACCTCGTAGGATTTGTGTCCTGTCGGTGACATACTTTTTAACAATAAGACTCAATTCTTTGGCTCGACAAGAAGCTCACCGACGGTAAATCCGGTGCTTTTTTCTTTTTTTCCTTTTTCCTTTTTCTTTTTCCTTTTTCCTTTTTCCTTTTTAATCGTGTCACGTAGTACTCGAATTTGTTTTCGATCGATATCTTCTCAAGAATTTTCACAAAACAAATAAGTTATCATTGTTATCGTTTTCATTCAAACAAAATTTATTATTTATTAATAAACAACAATTCATCTCGGAGGATTTTTTTGTATTTTTCTCATTCACATCCAAACGAGTTTTCGAATCTTTCGTTAAATCGATCCAGATCGATCGATAAGTTGTTTATTTTTTATCTTGTTTTTCTTTTTCCTCCTCCCACCCTCCCTTCCTTCCTTCCTACCTTAGCCCCATTCGTTTTAATAAGATTATTTCTGCATAAATATACTTATTTAGCGTACCAAAACGAATATAACTTCCATAACCTCAAAAATAACTTCAATTTTCCCGCGCATCGTAAATATTCGACAACTTCGTGGTGTTGATTTTTCGGTTGCATCTAACTTCACTTTCCAAAACGCGCGCAAAAAGAATAATAACTTCAAAAATATCTATCGAAAAGAAAATGCTACGCACGCAAGTGTAAAATCGTAAATTATTAAAACCCCTTCTCTTTGCATTTCGAATTAATATTTCAATTATTTTTGTTTTTATTTACAAGCAACAGCTCCCAATGCTTTTAAATGTTTCGTAAAAAATTTGTACTAAAAAATAAATAAGTCAATTATTTATAAATAAACGAAGGAAAGAATAAAATGAATTCGATCGAACAAACGCGTATTTATTTACACCATTGTTATTGTATTTTGTAATTTGTCAAGTGTACGATATCTCTTGAGATAATAACTGACGTCGAGTCATACTAATATGACATAATAATGCTAAAGGGTTAAATAATATGTAAATATTATTCAAAGTTAATTTCCTTTTTTTTTTTAATATTTCAATAGAAAATTTGTGTAAAATATTTCTTATTTAAATATATAAAATGTGTAATTTTGTTTACTTGTAAATTTAATTTTACAAAATTGAGTAATTATTAAATTTTCTCAAACTTGTGGAAAATTTTTATTAATTGATCCACACAGAGTCAATATATTAAATAAAATAATAAAAACATCGAAGAAGAGATATTTGATTTGTATAAAAGTGTAATAAAAAAGGAAAAGAAAAGAAAAAAAAAAAAAAAAGTACAAGGAAGACGGAATTGATGTCATCCGTTTTCCTCCTCGTCCCGCGAAGATGAAACGTTAAAGAAAAAGAAAGAAAAAAAAAAATCTAAGCAAAACCGTGTCGTCGTTTTGATACTTCCCCATCTTACATACGAAATAACACACATGCGAGAGGATCTGCGGTTCTTCTTTGCCACATACATCCTCTTTTGACTAACTCCCATATTCAATTCGATTTTGAATCATGCTCTTGAAGGAAGTAAGAGATAAAATGTTCTTGTTTTTTTTTCTCTCTCTCTCTCTCTTTCTCTTTTTATCTTTTTTTTCTTTTTTTATTTTTTGCTAAGAAGTTTCGATAAAAAATAAAGTCAACGCGCGCGTTTGTTGTTACTTAAAGAAAAACAAATCCATTATCGATTTCTAATTTTGATTTTGTTCTTTTTTGTTTTTGTTTTTCAGTGACTGTAAAAAGCGAGCCAGATCCAGAACAAGAACAGGAACACGAAGAGGAACAGGTTGAGATACAGGCGGATGCAGCATCTCCTAGTTCTAGTGTAAATATCTATTTTTATATATATATTATAATATATACTTTTAATAATAAAAAAAAAACAGGGAAAAAGAAAGGACTAATAATTAAAAAATAATTCTCTCTATAATTGATAAAAATTATTCGTTAGGAATAAACGTAAAACGAATTGTTCAAATGATCCATCCCCCTTTTTTTGGTTTAAACTTTCCGATTGAATTTTTGTTAGAAATTAATAATATTATTTTACGAGTTAAAGATAGAAATAAATATAAATGAAACATCGTTACGTTTAAGATTAAAATTGAATGAATATTTAACCAAAAAAAAAAAAAAAAAAAAATACGTACAATATATATTATAAGAAATAATAATAATAATAATAATAAAAACAATCGTTTTAATTGCAGATCGATTTACCGGAAAATACACACCCGTGTCCAGCTTGTCCGTCAATACTTCCGACATCTCACGATTTGACGAATCATCTGCGCGAACATAATTCACCAAGGAGTACAGATTACGGTGGTGAAGAGGATTACTGTTGTGCTATTTGTCAAAAAGTCTTGAGTTCGGCAAGTTCATTGGACCGTCATGTGCTCGTACATTCGCGTGAAAGGCCATTCAAGTGTAAATATTGTGACATAGCTTTCACAACGAATGGTAATATGAACAGACATGTTAAAAGTGCTCACCGCGGTGAAAGATCACCGCCGCAAAGTTATACCGAATCAGAAAGTACGAGTAACGATTCGGTAAATTCGTCTAAAAGGCAACCATTAGAGGAACACAACAACAACGAAATATCTAAACGTACATCGCCAAATTTCTTGATTAGAGAAAGATTAGCTAAAAATTTAACGAACAAACGTAAATCACCGTCTTTCACCAGGGAAGATGAAAATCCACGAAAGCATAAGATCTTGTTGAATAATTCAAGAACAGAGATCAAACGTACGCCCATTGAAACGCAAAATTCTTACAATTGTCCAGTATGCAATAGGCAAGATTTCGCAACGAGCGGTCTCCTGGAAACACACTTGGAACAAAATCATCCAGAATTCACGGCAAGGTGCGAACCATGTAACCTATCATTCAAAAATCATCGAGTATTAAACCTACACCGATACATGATACATTTTTCTGATTATCCCGTTGGAATACCTCCGAGAAATTTACGTAATTCCGTAGTAGGATTCGACGATTTAACTTTTGTTGATTTTACATCGTCTAAATTCCCAACTATTGCTAGGGCTATGTGCGAGCAAGCTATGCACCGACCGGCATCCGGAGAAGGTACCAACTTCCAATGCAGCAAATGTTCAAGAGCATTTCCTTGTTTCAAGTCAATGAAAGAACACCAAAATGAATGTGGTAAGTGTAGGTCAAGTTTGCAATGTAGACCGATAGATATTGGGGAATCACAGAGGGATGATTTTTTCGCGGGCCTTGAATTGCACAATAAAGCTGCTTTGACCGAGGCAAAAGATGGAAAGGATTTAGCTGATATAGAAAGTATTTTGTCGGTAACATCCGGTCCAATTTTACAAAACTTTCCCCGTTCGGATGCTAGTACACCCGATAATAATATTAAATTTAATTCGAGCGTTGGTTCTTCTGGTTCGTCAGGAACGATGTCGTCCGAATATCACGAGGAAGAGGCACAGGATTTATTCGCTGCCGAATTTAGGAAGATGAAATTAAAAGGAGAATTCCCGTGCCGATTGTGCACATCGATATTTCCTAATTTGAGGGCTTTGAAAGGACATAATCGTGCTCATATGGGCGTAGGACCAGGTGTTCCATATCCTTGCAACATGTGCCCTTATACTAGTACCGATAAGGCCACACTTGTAAGGCATTTAAGATCTCACAATGGTGATCGGCCATACGAGTGTTCGTTATGCAATTACGCTTTTACAACTAAAGCAAATTGCGAGAGGCACGTTAGAAATCGTCATGGGAAATTAACAAGAGAAGATATCAAAAGTGTATTGATTTATCATCCGAATGAAGACTCGACGAATGATAATATAGGTAATTCACCTAGATTGACGAAAGACGAGGCGAGAAAAAGTTTGATTTATCCGAACGATAGAGAAGATTCGATGCAACAACAACAGCAACAACAACGTTATCTGCCAATTCCGGTTGACTCTAAAGGTGATATTAGAGTAATAGAAGAAGCTAAATTACCTAGCCCTGAATTAGCTTCTTCTATTCGCAATATGATAGTTAATCATTGCGAAAGCAATGATACTTATGGGAGATCGAGTATACCAGGTTCCGGTCTTATATCAAGAACCATGGAAGAAGCTACCACATCTCAAGATCAAAGTGGTAGGGCTGATGATGATCTTGAATCAAGGTCATCCAATGAAAGCGTCCCTCTAGTCATTAATAACGAATCAGATATGCACCAAAGAATGCAAGCTAGTCCGATTAATTTGAAAAAAATGTCTAACCAATCTAACACCGGAAATTTAAATCAAGATGGACCGTTGGATCTTAGCATGGACGTTCTAGATTTGAGCAAGAAGGCTAAGGAAAGAAACGGTGCTGGATCATTGAGATCTAACGAATATCCTAACAACGATCGTAGAGAATTTTACGATTCTACCAGTCAATTATTTTTAACTCAGGCTTTGTTGCAAGCAAGCCAAAATACTTCACCGGGTACTTCGCCTAGTACCTCGCAAGGTAATTCACAGACAAATCCATTACAAAATTTCTACGCCAATGCTCAAATCATTTATCGCAATTTGGGATCGATTTCTAATCGCGTTAATGCTGGAATTTTATCATCCTACATGTTTAATTCGCAATTTTTTGGACAAGACTTAAACATCAGTGATAGAATTCAAAAGGAATTCGCTAGGGGCTTGCAATTAACCAGCGGTGGTACTTTAGTTGATCCATCGGTAAATAATAATAATTTTCCCGCATTTCCACAAGCCAATGATGCACCGTCGCAAATGGTAACCGATCAAAATGATTATACCAATTTGCTCGGTACGAAGATGACCAATAAGACTATATCACCTCGGGAAAAGGTTGATAATTCGGTTTCAACGAATTCGGTTAAAATGATCATCAAAAATGGCGTGTTAATGCCTAAACAAAAACAACGAAGATATCGTACCGAACGACCATTCTCATGTGGACACTGTTCCGCTAAATTCACATTACGAAGTAACATGGAGAGACACATAAAACAACAGCATCCAGAATTTTGGAGTCAACGACCACGGGGTGGTCATTCAACTAGAGGTAGACCACCAGCAAATCATCAAAATATAATGAAAAATTCTGGCCAATCAAATTCACAATCATCATCACAATCTTATTCCAGCATACTACCCAAAGGTGATCCATCAACAACGAAAGTAGAATCAACCGGTAGACATTCGATTTCGGAACAAGTGAAATATGCTATTCTGGCGCAACAATTGAAGGCTAATAAAATGGAGGATAACGATACCGACGAAGAATTGATCATCGATGAAGATCCAATTGATAAGGAGATTCAAGAATCTCAAGAACAAACTGAACAACGTTCCACGAGTTTGTTGAGAGGACAATTGGAAGGTAACGAATCTAATAAGGATATCATTGTGAAGGAAGAAATATTAGAAAGAGATTCATCTGACGTATTTAATAACGAACAATCTAAGGAACATAACAATACCAATGAAAATGGCCAAAGTTCTGGTAATGAACAATCAATCAATGATAAAACGGATGATACTACTTTGGATGGTAATTCGAGGCACACATTTAAAATGGATAATTGTAATGATAACATTACTCAAGACAAACAAGAGGATAATACTGCTGATCTTGCCAGCGTATCTGAATTATTGGACAACGCTTCTCATCAATATCAACATTTTCAACCGCAATATTTGAGCGACGAGGAAGGTTTAGTCGCTTCTACGAGCGATTTCAATAATTCCGGAAGCGATGACAAATCCGATTCAGTTAATTCCGGAAATTCTAATAACGCTTCTTCGAAAAAAAAAAAGAAAAAGAAAAAGAAGAAGAAATCGGCATATTCTTTAGCACCCAACAGAGTAATGTGTCCCTTTTGTGATCGTCCATTTCCATGGACGTCGTCCCTCAGAAGACACATCCTTACACATACCGGACAAAAACCATTTAAATGTATATACTGTTCACTTTTGTTCACCACCAAATCTAATTGCGATAGACACTTATTGAGAAAGCACAAAACTAATCCTTACAAGATAAGAAGAGCTAGAAATTCGTCATCACCTGAGAGTCAAGTTGTCAATACGAATAATACATTTTCTATGAGAAATGTACCCGAAAGACCGTACAAATGTAATCAATGTCCTAGTTCAACGTTCTCAACGTTAGGAAACTTGAAGAAACATCGTTCTACCAAACACTCGCGTAAAAATAAATTGAGATCCGTTTCGCCGTCTACAGAACCGCAAAATAGTCCATTACCATCATCTAAACAAAATGATCTTAGCGATTACGAGAGCCGATCGTCAAGTGTATCGGAAAATACTGAACAACAACAGGTATCACCGTCAGAAACGCAAAAACAAAATTCAAATAATTCTAACGCATCGTTGTCCAACAATGAATTGTCAAGATCACGAAGAACTTCACCGAGATCATCACCCGGTCCTAATGATGTACCATTCAAGTGTCATCTTTGTGATTGTGGTTTTGCCGATCGTCACGATTGTTTAGAACACATCAAAATAAATCATAATGAATCTTACGAGATGCTTGTAGCAAAGGGTGCTATGGATATGGATATTGATGGGTTGGAAGATCATCAAGTACCACCACCACCACCTCAACAACAACATCTTAGCGATGGGGAGGAAAGAAAAGGCCGATTTCCAGATTACAGTAATAGAAAAGTAAGTAAAAAATCAATTATTTTTGTTGTATCTATATATAACTATAAGAACATTTCATTACTTATCGAGTAACTATAAAGAATAGGATAAAGTTTTGTTTTTAAAATGTGAGATTTAAGTGTGCATAATTATAAACTATAAACGTGTTAAATTCGAATATCACAAAGTAGTATTACAATTGAATTCTCACAATGTGTTGATAATCGAGTAACAATTTTTTCAACCTACTTACACAAATTTGATTTCTCTTAGAAAATAAAAGGGGAGATAAAAAAACATGATATTGTTAGAATTTACAAAATATTTCATTTAGAGCAAAAAATCGAATATCCATATAATTAAATAGTATCGTAAAATTGATGAATTATTTCTAACCGTATTTGTTCTTTTTTAAAAGTCACTTTCAATTAAACTGATAAAATATGATATATTAATATTTATTTTCGTCAACAGGTAGTCTGTGCCTTTTGTATAAGAAGATTTTGGTCAGCCGAAGATCTTCGTCGTCATATGAGAACCCATACAGGGGAAAGGCCATTCTCGTGTGACATTTGTCTTCGTAGATTCACATTGAAACATAGCATGCTGCGTCATCGTAAAAAACACGAATCAGTCGATTCAACAATGTACGTTGGTACCAGCGGTGACGAAGAAAATTCACCAACTCAACCACCTACGATAACACCCCGTACACAAAAGCAACCACCAGTTTTAATGGCAACCAATATCAATAATTCGAGAATTCAAGATAGAATTTCGTTGTCTGTTGCAACCGGTGATGCCGCGCCAGGTGGGGGTGGTTTTATGAGATACAACAGTTACGAAAAATTAACAACATTTGCCGGGAAACTTACCGCGAACAATCCTCAACAACATCATCATAATAATAATGCAATAAATAATGATTTATCCGAAAATACTGACAACGATTTGATCTCGAATCTTTTAGGTATACGCGACAAAAGTTTTATCGATAAAGTTCTTCAAGCATCACCCGACGATGCTGCTAAATTATTAGGCGTACAACGTAGTCACGAATGAAAATACAATTTTTAAATTAACATAAGTCCGATAAAAAACAATACGTTATAATGATACACAATGAATACGTAGAGACAAAAAAAAACAAATAAGTATGAATTTTTTCAATCGATATCCTTTAATATACTTTCTTTGTTTATGTCTCTATTTGTTTTTGTTTTATTTATTTTTATTTTTCGTTTTTTTTTTTTTATTTATTTTTCTTTTTCTTTGATTTATTATATTTGTTCTCATCTATTTTAATTCTTTCTTTCATTTTTTTTTTTTTATTTTTTTTTGTTTTATTTGTTGTCCTATACGTTTATTCACAATCGTGCCTTATTATACGTAATAAAATCGTATACTTTTTTATCGATTTTTAAATTCATGCTCGTCAATTTTCTTTTCATTGTAAAATAATAATGACATACAACTTTAAGTGATCATTGTTTTCTCGAATATCGTACAAATTGTCTAAGACAAAACGCTGTTTATTCTAAAGCGTGGCTTTCATATCATTTTATTTTTATTTACTATCAATATATCTATCATTATCTACATATATATATATGTTTTAATGATTCTATATCATTTTTAATTATAAATTACAAGATATAATCAAATTTATAATTTAAAAATTAATTTAATATACATTCAGGTAT